CGGTTGTACTATATTAAAAAAATATTTTGATTCTGAGGCGTTTTAACTCTCTAATGCCAGACCTGGGCCTTTTTACAGTCCCTGGGACCACCTCTTGCCCTTTGGCTGTCCCTGCCTGGCCCACGTGAAGTCAATCAGAAATTAGAAATCAAATGTAAATAACTGTGCACTGTGCACACAATACAACTGTGTGGCTTTTATTTTGAAGACGACTCTTTTGTTGTTGTTGTTGTCGTCGTTGTCACAAAGGTGCTTTTTCAAGAGGCAACTGGTTTTTTTTCTTTGAAGACGTTTCGCTTGTCATCCAAGACGTTTCTTCAGCTCTGACAGGATGGTGAGGGAATGGAAGGATTTATATTCTTCAGTCAGTCAAGCAGTGTCGACTGGCAGCCCCCAGGGGGAGGGCCTTCTCTGTGGGGGCACCCACTATCTGGAACGAGCTCCCCCCGGAGATACGGAGGATCCCGGATCTGTGCACTTTCCACCGTGCTCTTAAGACCCTCCTATTCCAGCAAGCCGGCCTGGCCTAATTTTCTCCCCTTTCTTTTAAATTTTTAAAATTGAAATTTTAATTTGTTTTAAACTATTGGGATTTTTAATTGTCTTGGGCTAAATTATTTAATTTGGTTTTAATTAGGTTTCTAACTTTTGTATTTATGTATTTTATTTTGTGCCTGTTCACCGCCCTGAGTCCTTCGGGAGTAGGGCGGTATATAAATTTAATAAAACATAAACATAAAACATATACATATATATTTATATGTCCTGGAACCAGGAGCACTACTCAGGTGACCCTGAGGACACAGATAAACCTCCAAGTGCTTCAACGACCCTCTAAAAAGGATGCAAATGACCAGCTGTCTGCAAGGAGTATAAATCCTTCCATTCCCCACCATCCTGTCAGAGCTGAAGAAGCTTCTTGGATGAGAAGTGAAACCTTTTCAAAGAAAAAACCAGAAAGTCCAGTTGGCTCCTGAAAAAGCACCTGTCAGCGCTTCAACACTGGCATAGAGAGCAGAGGAGAGAGAGAGATAAGCTCTGAACTTTTGCCTGCTAAATCCCTTTGAAGTCGGGTTGTCGTGGAAATGAAGGGGGGAGACATTCCTGGGAAATGACGAGACAAGAAGTCTGAAGAATGACTTGGAAGATAGCCAATGAGAAGCAGAGATTTGGGGATCGGAAAGGGAGGGATTGGGGGGCAAAAGGTCAGTCTTGTCCGCATCGAGTCATGATCCGGTGGCTGTGCTCAATTAAAGAAAAGATTTCCTTAAAGATTGGCAGTTTGGAAATTCATTTATTTTGAGATAGCATCGAACTCTTGACAGCACCTTTGGGACAACCATGACCTGGATGATCGAGAATCTCTACAGATTTATATGATCCTGACCAAAAAGTGCTAATGTTTTCAAGAATGAAAGAGAGAGAGGATCTCTCACACTTCTCCAACCAGAAGTTGGCAGAGACTCAGGGACTTCCAGCCTTCAGACGAGAAAACTTGTTTCCTAGGTGAATGCTTGGCAGACATCTCACAGACACGGCAAACCAGAGTTGAGACAAAAGAAATGATTGCTCATTTCTTTTGCTTGTGGGAGTATGCCGGCATCTCTTATGCCCATGATGTTCCAAGTGATGCTTTATTCTTCCCACAAATTAATGGACTCCATTCAGGGGGCTTTGGTGGCCTTGAAATCCAGCAGTTGCTGTGTTTGCTTATATCTCAGCCAACCTGGATCTGGGAGATGCAGCTATTCAGCTTAGTTGAACAGAACATAGAACAGAACAGAACAGAACAGAACAGAACAGAACAGAACAACAGAGTTGGAAGGGACCTTGTAGGTTATCTAGTGGTCTTCCGGGTACGATTCAAGGTGTTGGTTACCACCTTTAAAGCGTTCCATGGCATAGGATCCGGGTATCTTCGAGACCGACTTCTGCCACCAGTAGCCTCCCACCGGCCAGTCCGCTCCCACAGAGAGGGTCTCCTCAGGGTGCCATCAGCCAAGTCATGTCGGCTGGTGACACCCAGGGGGAGGGCCTTCTCTGTGGGAGCCCCTGCCCTGTGGAATGAACTGCCCCCGGAAATGCGTAAGATCTCCGACCTCCGTGTATTTCGCTGTGCCCTCAAGACCCTGCTGTTCCGCCAAGCCGGGCTATCAATGTAATGATTTTTAAATTGGGTTTTAAATTTTGGGGTTTTAAATCTGAGCCGAAATTACGTAATAATTTTAATTATTTTTTTAACTGATGTTTGTCTTTGTGTTTTTAATCGGCTGTACACCGCCCTGAGTCCTTCGGGAGAAGGGCGGTATAGAAATAAAATTATTTATTTATTTTATTTATTTATTTAGTCCGACCCCCTCGCCCGAGCAGGAGATCCTACAGCAGGGATGGCACAGGGGGGGTCACACATGCATATGCCCACACCCATAATTCAATGTGCCCTGCGTATGCGCGCAACACACACACACCCACGCTCCCCCTGTTTTTGGCACTTGATGGCCCAGTGGGCCCGGTAGGCCCGTTTTTCGCCCTCCCCAGGCTCCAGAGGCTTTCTTGGAGCCTGGGGAGGGTGAAAAACAGGCCTTCCGATCCTACCAGAAGTTGGCAAATGGGCCATTTCCGGCCTCTAGAGGACCTCCAGAGTTGTGGGGAAAGCCGTTTCCGCCCTCCCCAGGCTCCTAGAAAACCTCTGGAGCCTGGGGAGGGTGAAAAATGGGCCCAGAAGGCCCGAAAGTCAGCTGGCCGGTGTGCACATATGCGCTGGAGCTGAGCTAGGGCAACACTCGCATGCCCACTGATAGGGCTTTGCATGCCACCTGTTCGCCATCACGGCCCTACACCATTTCTGACAGATGGCAGTCTAGTCTCTTCTTGAAAGCTTCGAGGGATGATAGGATAGGAGAGGCTTCTGTGGGGCAAGCCTGAGGGGGAGAAGGGGATAGGATAGGAGATGTTTCTGTGAGGTAAGCTTGAAGGAGAGAAGGGGGATAGGATAGGATAGGCTTCTATGAGGCAAGGCTGAGGGAGAGAAGGGGAGAGGAGAGGCCGATCGTAACTACTCATAAATTTTCAAGCTGTAAGTGTCGATTTATGAAGCCCGATCACATAGATTCGTAGCAGAGCACGGGTATTCAGATAGTAGTTCATGTACATAAGATCTTAAGAGACTTTCTCACAAAGCTTTGTAATTCATCTATTCCCATTCCACCCCACCCCGCCACTGTGGTTGTGGATTGACCAGCTCAAAAGTTTATTCCAAGGGCTTTCCAGGATGATGGTGATGTATTGGATACGTAATGCAATATCCCACTATTTCCTGGGGGAAATCCTGGGGGAAATGTATCATTAGAGAAATGTATGGGGTTTTCTTCCTGTTTCTACCAAGTATAAGGGTGAACAAACTGTAATCAACAGCCTGCTTGACCTGCTATGGTGGCTTCTAGTCTTTCTCACCCAGATGATCTATCCAAGTTAAAATTACAACCCAAACAGAAAACAGAACTTTATTTTAGAGGAGGGGACAATTAGGGTTAGGGTTAGGATCAGTGCTATGGCCCCAATTGGAATAGAGCAAGTCTTCTAATTGTCTTTGCAATAATCCCTACTTTAGAAAATATTTCTTTGTTGGATTACCTCTATACAAAAAAAAAACATGCCCCAAGTAGATTTCGGGTGGTGTCGTTACTGTAGGTTAAGAGATTTTAAGGAAACACTCTTTGTCTCATTTGAAATCAGGATTTCCTCTGCTGTAGATGAAGGGAATAGTCCCACTCCAGCATCTTCAAAGAAATCAAGAGACTTAGAACCTTTTGCACAAAGGTATTTGGGGAGGGGGGCGGGCGGGTTGCCAAGCCAGGCCGCCTCCGAGCTCATTCAGATGCCCTGTGTCTGTTTTCCACATCAAGAGACACAATAAATGAAGAGAATGTTTTGATAGTAGAATCCAGAAGTACCAATAGCATTCGTGCTGCATGAAAGATGATATCTGGCGACAAGTTACTTTCTCTATTTTCTGTATTTTATCACCTTATTGCATTGCTACATAGTCTAGCTCTGTTATCTTTCTTTCTTTCTTTCTTTCTTTCTTTCTTTCTTTCTTTCTCCTTCCCTCTTTCCTTCCTTCCTTCCCTCCTTCCTTTGTTTTCTATTCTTTCTTTCTCCTTCCTTCCTTTCTTCCCACCTTCCTTCCTTCCTTCTTCCTTCCTTCCTTCCTTTCTTTCTCCTTCCTTCCCTCCTTCCCTCCTTCCCACCTTCCTTCATCTTTTTCTTTCTTTCTTTTTTCCTTCCTTTGCTCTCTATTTTATTTCTTCCTTCCTTCCTTCCCTCCTTCCCATCTTCCATCTTTTTCTTCCTTCCTTCCTTCCTTCCTTCCTTCTTTCTTTCTTTCTTTCTTTCTTTCTTTCTTACTTACTTACTTACTCCTTTCTTCCTTCTCTCCTTTCCTCCTTCCTTCATCTTTTCCTTCCTTGCTCCTCTTTTCTTTCTTTCCTTCTTTCTTTCTTTCTTTCTTTCTCTTTCCCTCTTTCCTTCCTTCCCTCCTTCCCTTGTTCTCTATTCTTTCTTTCTCCTTCCTTCCTTCCCTTCTTCCCACAATCCTTCCTTCCTTCCTTCTTCCTTCCTTCCTTCCTTCGCTCCTTCCCACCTTCCTTCATCTTTTTCTTTCTTTCTTTCTTTCTTTCTTTCTTTCTTTCTTTCTTTCTTTCTTTCTTTCTTTCTTTCTTTCTTTCTTTCTTTTTTCCTTCCTTTGCTCTCTATTTTATTTATTTATTTCTTCCTTCCCTCCTTCCCATCTTCCATCTTTTCCTTCCTTCCTTCCTTCCTTCCTTCCTTCCTTCCTTCCTTCCTTCCTTCTTTCTTTCTTTCTCCTTCCTTTCTTCCTTCCTTCCTTTCCTCCTTCCCTCCTTCCTTCCTTGCTCCTCTTTTTTTTCTTTCCTTCTTTCTTTCTTTCTTTCTTTCTTTCTTTCCTTCTTTCCTTCTTTTTCCTATTTGGCCCTCTCCAGCTTCAGGATTCATGAGTGAAGATGAATACTTGGAGATCACGAGCATCACCCGGGAACAATCGGGGGAGTACGAGTGCAGTGCCTCCAACGATGTTGCAACTCCTGTTGTGCGGAGAGTAAAAGTCACCGTAAACTGTGCGTAACATTGCATTTTTCTTTACCCTGCAGCTCAGAGGAATGAGGATTCACTCCTTCTAATATTCTGAATAATATTATTATTATTCAGTTAATATATATTAACAGAACATTGATATTAACAGAATATTAAATATTCTGTTTAATCTTCAAAGGATTGACAACAACATTCAGATGTTTTATCTGAGATCTAACATACCATATTATTCGGACTATAAGACGCACCTAAATTTAGAAGAGGAAAACAACAACAAAAAGTTTTTGGCTACCATGTGCCCCATTTTCGGGTCTTTTTTCTGCCCTTTTCCAGCCTTTTTTTCAGACCATTTTTGAGGCTTTTTTCAGACCATTTTCGAGGCTTTTTTCGGCCCGTTTTCGAGGCTTTTTTCAGCCTGTTTTTTCAGAAAAAAGAAAAAAGGCTGAAAAAGGCTGAAAAAAGGCCCGAAAACAGGGCGTGTGGAGGCCAAAAAATGGCCGGCAGGTGGGCAGGGCTATGGCAATATTCGGTCTATAAAACACACAGACATTTTCACCCCCTTTTGGGAGACAAAAAAGTGCATCTTATAGTCTGACAAATACGGTATTACAGTTCTCAATCTAACCAAGAATGCTCACTGGATATTTTAACAGATTGAATCTAGGACCTTATTCATTAAAATGATGTGGTCCACCACTGAGCCAACATGCCTTCTTAATGCATATTTGTCCCAGTTTAGACAACTACTAAGAGGAAGGAAAACAGATCTGTTCCAAACTGAAGCATGTCTTCTTTTTTTCCTCTGTAAATTTTATTTTTTATTCAAAAAGTTAAAATTGCAAACATGGAAAATGAACATTACGAAAACACAACAAAATTAGACAAAATATGGATCAAAAGGACCAAAAAGCAAACAAACATATATATATATACATCTATTGTCCCCACCTAGTTGAATACTGGCAAATATATTGCAACAGGGATAATTTCTTCCCCTTGTGAAAAAGGATACCTGCCCTAAAATAAAATGCTTCACAAACTGAAGCATGTATTCTAGGGCAGTTATGCTTTTTCAAACTTGACAGTCTATTATGTGTTGGGATTGCATTTCCCAATGTGTTTGCTGAATTGGTAGCCTTCCTTTGTATGCATGGGTAGAGATGTGCACCCAGGTATTCCATTCTGCAGGCAAACCTACATTCATTTACAGCAGGGGTCTCCAACTTTGGCCACGTTAAGCCTGGCGGACTTCAACTCCCAGAAAAGCTGGCTGGGGAATTCTGGGAGTTGAAGTCCGCCAGGCTTAATGTGGCCAAAGTTGGAGACCCCTGATTTAGAGGTTAACTTAACCCTTTTTACCTTATATTTTGCTGTGGCATTGACATGTGTCCTTACACACTACCATCCTTGGGAGGCACCTCCTCTTGTACCCCTAGCAAAGAATCTGAAAAGAAGTGATGGACTGTCACTCTGAAGGTTACAGATGTTTGTAGCCAAAAATCATTACCCTGTTTCCCCGAAAATAAGACGTCCCCTGATAATAAGCCCAATCGGGCTTTTGAGTGCATGCGCTAAAATACGCCTCCCCCCCAAAAAATAAGCCCTCTCCTGGCCAGTCCACCCAACTGCACCCCCCCCCCCCGAAAATAAGCCCTCCCAAAAATATTTAAACACAGAGCTGGAAATCAGGTAAGATGGCAAGAGGAGCCCCAATCTTGCTCCACGCGCCCCAAAATAATAAGACCTCCACAAAAATAAGGCCAAGTGCTTATTTCGGGGTTCAAAAAAAATATAAGACAGGGTCTTATTTTCGGGGAAACACGGTAATTGTTCCATGCCTGTGAGATTGTGGATTTTATATATATATATTGTTGAATATTTCATCACAACTGGAAGTTCTTTCTTTCAGATTAGCTTTAAAGCAATCTTATCAGGTTTTGGGCATTATTTTCCTACACCAGATGTTTTCTAAGAGGATCTTGCAAATGAAACTCAAATGGCTTGTTGTAAGGCACCCCTAAAGGAAGGAAAGTTTTTGAACCAATGATAAAAAAAAAGAAAGAAAAGAAATCTATTCCCTAGATCAATGATGGCAAACCTTTTTGCTGTCACGTGTCAAAAGTGGGGGGAGTGCAGGGGGGGTGCGCACGCATGCCCACACCCATAATTCAATGCGCCCCGCCCCCACGCATGTGCGCGTGACCCCCCTACGTTCCCCACACTTTTGCCAAGCGATGGCACGGTGGGCCTGATAGACCTGTTTTTTGTTCTCCCCAGGCTCCAGAGACTTTCTAGGAGCCTGGGGAGGACGACAACTGCCTTCCCCACACCACCCAGAGGCCCTCTGGAGGTCAGAAACGGCCCATTTCTCGACTTCCGGTGGGCCCAGAAGGCCCGAAAATCAGCTGGCTGGCACACACATATGCGCCGGAGCTGAAGTAGGGCAATGCTTGTGTGCCCACTGATATGGCTCCGTGTGCCAACTGTGGCACACGTGCCATAGGTTCGCCATCACGGCCCTAGATACTTAACTTATTCCTTTCTCTGCAGACCCACCGTATATCTCAGACACCAAGAACACTGGCGTGCCAGTGGGTCAGAAGGGCATCCTTCAGTGTGAGGCCTCTGCAGTTCCATCAGCGGAATTCCAGTGGTATAAAGATGACAAACGGTACATGAATTACTCAAGTGGGGGCGGGGGGCGATGTGGGATGTGTCGTCACAGTTGCTAAAACAGAAATGACCCATTCTTTAAGAATCTTGTATTTCTGCTACCATGCAAACAGAGGAAATTGGAGGAAAAGGACAGCATGTGTGTGTGAATGTATGTGTGTGGATTTGTATGTGCCCACGAATCGATGTCCATTATATAGACTCACAGGTGGCGCGGTGGCTCAAACCTGCTGGGTTTGTCGGCCGGAAAGCTAGCAGCCCTGGTTCGAGACCAGGGTTGGGGTGAGCTCCTGTTCCTTGCTCCATCTCCTGCCAACCTAGTAGTTCGAAAGCATGCAAATGTGAGTAGATAAATAAGTACCACTTTGGTAGGTAGTTAACAATGCTCTGTGATGTCATGCTGGCCACATGACCACAGAAATGTCTTCGGACAGCACTGGCTCAATGGCCTTGAAATGAAGATGAGCACCAATCTCTACAGTCAGCAATGACTAGTGGAGCAAAATCCGCAAGAATTCCTTTATACACACACACACACACACACACACACACACACACACACACACACACATATATAATCACACAATTGCAAATAGATGTTCAGCCCATCGAGGCTAACCCTGGTTTATTTGAAGGAGACTGACAGATTGCTGTTTGCTTCTTCTTCTCTGTCGGAGGCCAGCTGACAGAGAGGAGTTAGTCACCTCCTTCAGTAAATCTCCTTCTCCTACGCATCCAATGTTTTGTGTTCTCCACTTACCGCTATTTTCATTCATCACCGATCAACCTTGTCCTGCTCCATTCTACCTTCCGTATTCCCTTTGTTTAACTATCGGTTGTTTTGTTCTCCTTGCTAGGAGAAATTCAAATTGTGAGCGGCTTGGACCTGATTTTTTTTTTTTTGCCAATTATAAGTTATTCTGTAAAGAAGATTGATGGCACTGGCATTTGAAAGCAATTCTGTCAAATGGGAGGTGCTCCGGTGCTCGTTGCAGAGATCCTTGGCACAGAAATACGCTTTTCTCTATACATGATCTGCAAATATTTTGAATAACAGCTCTTGTTGTTAGGATTCATGCCAGAGATTCTCTGACACAATTCTTCCAAGATTCAGACATAGAGACTATTTATCACAGGTCCCAAGGCATGAAAAGGCAGGATATGATCATTGTTAAGAGTTCTCACAGTGGATTCCTGTAGTTCTCATAGCTGATGTTAAGAAACTGGGTCATTCTCCACTATTAATGATCACAAGGAGACAAACTATAGAGATCCGTTCAAAAACGACCATAAAGATATCGTCCATCTGATGAAGATATTATTTTCAGTCATGGGGCAAACTCCAATTATGGGAATCATTTCTTCAATTATCCTAGTAGCAAACCATTATGAGTTGCTCCAGAGCAAGCCAGCGCAGTGTAACATAAAACAAGAAAACGCAGAAAGGAACCAGATAAATAAAACAAAAGCAACACATAAGAATACCAGCAAAGTAATGCACTGGGAAGGGAATGGGATGAAGTAACTTGGATGGTGAAAAGGGGATAGAACAGAAGACCATATTGCAACTGCTGAACAAAATATAGTTCTCTAAGTTGTGTTTTGCTCCTTTCATCTCCAGATCTTTTTTGGAGGTCATCTCTTGTACTTTCCAGCTTGAAGTAGCACTGTCAGGTTCCAAGTAATGCATCCATCACAATTTGAACTCCAAGGCATTCCTTTCTCTCAAAGAACAAATTTATTTAGATACTCCATCTTGGCACTAGCTGGTGAAAAGCCAGTACCGTAGTTTCCAGGCTTTTCACCCCGATATAAGTTTCAGTTTCTCAAGTTTCCCAAAATGAACTGTCGCATTGTCCAACCAAGATGGGAGCTGGTTGCTTGGCAACTTCTCTCCTCCTCCGGTCAACCAGCCATTGGAATGTGGTTGACTCATCGGCTAGGAATGATGTTTTGACTGAAGGCCCCATCCTCCAGCTTGAAACAGTGTCAAATTGAATTAATGTCAGAATACCCAAGGATTCTAACAATCTCACACCCCAATCAAATTCAGGCTTGACAGGCACACGTTGGATGACCAATTTGTAGAGGGTTGAATGTTAGATGGGAATGGAGCAAATCAGAGTCCTGTGGAATAAAGGGATTTAGGGCTAGGTCCAGGGGTGGGCTGCGGAGAATCCCCAAATCCCACTCCTGACTAGCCCCACCCACCCCACCCTGCCCCTCCCAGGAGTCCCCACATGGCCCATTTTGGATGCAGGTAAGTGCAGGGCGCACCCGGAGGTTCGGGGAGGGTGAAAGACAGGCTTACCAGAAGTTCAGGAAGACCAGAAACAGGCCCATTTCTGGCCTCCAGAGGGCCTCCGGAGCCTGGGGAGGCTGTTTTTGCCCTCCCCGAGGCTTGATGAAAGCCTCCGGAGCCTGGGGAGAGCAAAAATGCCTCCCCCCACCATGGTGCAGGAGGCGGACTAGACCAAGCTCACCATGGCCACGCCCACCCAGCAACTGGGCCGAGAACCCCTTGCTAAAAAATTTTTGAAGCCCACCCCTGGCTAGATCTTAGGGCTAGATCAGTGGTGGGTTCCTCCCGGTTCGATCCGGTTCGGCCAAGCCGGTAGCGGTGACGATATGACGTCAGTGAACCAGTTCTCCCCCCCGCCCTCCCCCCCACTCACCCACGTTAGTCTTACCTTTTATTTGGTCCCACCCCCAATCTATTGCTGCCTCCTGAGTCCCAGCTGATGACTAGAGGGAAAAAAACTGTTTAAACTCTTGCCGCGGGGCTTCAAAGGGCCATCTTACAGCTGATCAGTGTTAAAAGCAAACAAATGAGTCGGGTCGTAAGTGCGAGGACTGGTCGTAAGTGCGAGGACCTTCCAGAAATGACTCTGACCAGCTAGCCATGCCCACCTAGTCACATGACCTCCAAGCCACACCCACAAAATAAGCCACGCCCACAGAACCAGTAGTAAAAAAAATTTGAAGCCCACCCCTGGCTAGATCTTAGGGCTAGATGTTTGTTTGATGCCTGTGTCCCCTACTAACACTGACCGGAACATATCTAGAGGAAGGAGGAAAATCATTGAACCACCTGTTCCTAACCTCTAAATTGATCCAAAAAGATACTGTGATCTCTAAGGATACTGAGAGATCAAGGAAGATCAGGATGGATGCATGAATTCCCACCATCTCAGAAGATCAACAAGTGTGATCAATATCATTACCCTAGCTAGATTTAAATCCCGGTGAAAAGATCAGAAATGTTATCCTGAGTTAGTTGACGGATGCCCGGGCTACACAGTGACAGGCCTTTTTTTTTCTTTTTCAATGAACTCATCTCCTGGAATGAGACGAAACCCCTGGCTAAACCAGTTGCAATATATATTTTAAGCGAAAGCTCTTCATAAAGGGATTGTGCGAACACGGAAAATTACATCAGTTCTGTCCCCAAGCGAGGAGCTCCAATCTAGTTACAGCGCTCAAATACATTAAATTATAGGTAGCAATACAATTTACAAACAATCGCAGCAGTCTTTTATAACTATTTTATCTCTGCGGTGAACTTGTGGCCATTTTTTCTCTTTCATGTTACAGCTCAGCTATTGGAATTCCTACTACTATACTATCAAGGCTCAATGCATTCATAGAAGACAACCTCTGTAGTTCGGGGTTGAACCGCGGGGTCCTTGGTGAATTCTGAGCATGGTTGTGCATGGGAGATCTTACCTAGTTAGGCAGCAAAATATCTTCAAGCAAATAACCAGGGTCAGAGAGCACCAAGGATTCAGAGGTGGGCGTCACATAATGTAACAACCGGTTCGCCCAGAACCGAAAATGTGAGCCTATGTGTGTGCGCCTTCCGTGTATGCATGCGGCGTCAAACACATGATTATATAGGATGGGATAACGCCAGGGTGGGTGGGCAGGTGTGCGGGCCCACCTGCCCCGGAACTATCGGTTCGTCTGAACCAGTCTGAACCGGCAGCAGCAGCGGTGAAATCCAGCAGGTTCTGACAGGTTCTGGAGAACCAGCAGCAGAAATTTTCAGCAGTTCAGAGAACCAGCAAATACCTCCTCTGGCTGGCCCCAGAGTGGGGTGGGAATGGAGATTTTACAATATGCTTCCCCCAAGAGTGGAGAGGGAATGGGGATTTTGCAGTATCCTTCCCCTGCCATGCCCATCAAGCCACACCCACAGAACCGGTAGTAAAAATAATTGTATTTCACCACTGGACGGCAGCTCACCTCTGCAAGGACTCCACAATTCACACATCGGCAGGATTGGATTCCTGCATTTGGCTCTAGAATGTGGAATTGCCTTTGAGTTTATTATTGATTAATTTAAATCAGTGGTGTCAAATACAAGACCCACGGGTGTTCTGTCCCCGTCCCACACACGCACCCCCACAGACGGCCCGGAGTTAATAAGCCACACAACAAAATCTTTGAAGATAAAGCTGGCAGCAACCCAATGGCTAGCTGCCAATTCAGACTTTACTCACACAATACAAAGATTAGACTGCAAGCATTCCAATAAAGCAGGCAAAGATTCCGCAATACAAGGATTAGTCCAAATGCAGTCCGACAAGGCAGGCAGAAGTCCAGTAACGCAGAGATCATGGATTATTTCTAGTTTTTGCTCGTCACAAACTGAACCGGCCACCACACCCACATTTATACCCTGTGGGGTGTGGTCCAGTGACTCAGCTAATCTCTGGCACGCCTTCCCCTCTGCTGCACACGCTTCTCCCTGCGCCTCTGTCGCGGGTCCAGCCAGCACTTATCTTCTTCGTCGCTGTCCACCTGTGGCTGCGGGGACGTGCTTGGCTCTGAGCCTATCTCTTGGCCTTCGGTGTCCTCCGGAGGCATTGCCAGAGAGGAGGGTCCTGGAGAGGGAGGCCTTGCCAACTCCTCTCCCTCACTCTCAGAGTCTGCATCTGTCGATAGCCCAGGCTCAGGCAACGGAGCCACAACAATGGGCTGCATCCAGCCCATGATGTGGTCGGATCTGGCCCACGGGGCCATCCTGTAATATAAGGATTTGGCCCATGTCGCCTCGGCCCGGTCTACCCAATGTAGCTTCAGTCCGGTCTACCCAATGCGGCTTCAGCCCGGTCTACCCAATTCAAAGAGGAAACATTAGGCCGGCATGGCTTTGGCCCAGTCTACCCTGTGCAAAGAGGGAAAATGCCAGGAGTTTGGGGAGTGGCATCAAGTTAGCCATACCCACCCAGTTGGCCACACCCACCCAGTTGGCCACGCCTGCCCCCCCCCCCCCCCCCCAAGGTCAACCACAGCTCTGATGCGGCCATCAATGAAATTGAGTTTGACACCCCTGACTTAAATTCTTTGTAGAGGACGAACCTGCTCGGTCATGGACCAGCTGCTTTGTCACACATCTTTTGCACCTGTTTTTAAAATAGTCACACTGATGATCTGAAAAGAATAATTCAGGTACTCGTGTGATTGTAATGTCAAGGTTAGATGACTTTGATAATAATAACCTACATTTGATATTCTTATTCTCCATGCCTGATTTCAGAATTACCCACATAGACGACTCTTCTTTTCAGCGATCTGTTTCCTACAGAATAACCGGTCCCTTCCATTACAAGATCAGGGCTCATCATCTAGATACTTTTGATAATACCATGCAGAAAAATATTCCCAACATATTTTTCTATCAAGTCCCATTCAATTTCACAAGAGAGCTGAAGTTTGATGGATGAGTAGAGAATGGTGGCTTTGCGGATATTTATGGAGAATGAAAGTCTGTGTGTATGTGTGTATGTATCTCTCTCTTTCTCTTTCTCTCTCTCTTTCTCTCTCTCTCTTTCTCTTTCTCTCTCTCTTTCTCTCTCACCCTCTCTCTTTCTCTTTCTCTCTCTTTCTCTCTTTCTCCCTCCCTCCCTCTCTCTTTCTTTCTCTTTCTCTTTCTCTCTCTCTTTTTCTGTCTCTTTCTCTCTCCCTCTCTTTCTCTCTTTCTCTCTCTCCCTCTCTTTCTCTCTTTTTCTCTTTCTCTCTCTCTTTCTCTCTCTCTCTCTCTCTTTCTCTCTCTCTCTTTCTCTCTTCCTCCCTCCCTCCCTCTCTCTTTCTCTCTCTCTCTCTCTCTCTCTTTCTCTCTCCCTCCCTCCCTCTCTCTTTCTCTCTCTTTCTTTCTCTCTCTCTTTCTCTCTCCTTCTCTTTCTCTCTCCTTCTCTTTCTCTCTCTCCCTCCCTCTCTCTTTCTCCCTCCCTCCCTCCCTCTCTCTTTCTCTCTCTTTCTTTCTCTCTTTCTCTCTCTCTCTTTCTCTCTCACCCTCTCTCTTTCTCTTTCTCTTTCTCTCTCTCTTTTTCTGTCTCTTTCTCTCTCCCTCTCTTTCTCTCCCTCCCTCCCTCTCTCTTTCTCTCTCTTTCTCTTTCTCTCTCTCTTTCTCTCTCTCTTTCTCTCTCTCTCTCTCTCTTTCTCTCTCCCTCCCTCCCTCTCTCTTTCTCTCTCTTTCTTTCTCTTTATCTGTGTGTGTGTGTGTGTGTGTGTGTGAATGTCCTGTCTTTTCTTTTTATAGACTTGTTCCTCCTGAGGTCTACAGCTTATGTGGCCCTCCACACTTCCAAGAAATGTGTGTGGGGGGGGGGGAAGAGTCATAAAGATGCAATTTTTTCTATGGAGCGCTTTTTTTTTTCCAGATTAGGAAGTATGGTTACTTAGAAAGCTTTTAGAGACGTGGAAAGCTGCAATGCTATCCTTTGCCACCTGCAACAAATTTAAAAGCAACGCTAAGAGAAATCGGAAAGAGATCTGAAACTATGCTGAGGAAAAAGTAGGACGTAAGCCAGAAGGAGAAAAGGAAACTTAGAAATGGCAAGGTTCTTCTTTTGGCTTTCCCCAGCAACTAATCACATACATTATTGGGCTAATAATAATTAATAGTATTATTTCATTATTTGATTTTTCTATTACTACTCTCTTGTAATTTTGTTGCAAGCTATTCAAGGTTTTTCTCAAATGAGAAATTATATACCATTGTAGGAGAAGAAGAGGTTTAGCTGGAAGGCAGGGTTAAACGTGCCATAAGTTTAGAGTCACTGCGTTGCCACAAGGCACCCAAATCCAGCCAATTCCATTCACCCTTATCTAGTACCAATTTAGCTTTGAACATTAGTCAACTAAATTCTAGTTTTAGAGATAGCAATGATAAACCCTTCTGTGCTTCGAGCTCAACAAATGCTCCTGGTTATTTGTGCCTGATGACAACTGTGCTCATAAATGAAATATGTGTGTCTGTGTCGTTGTGGTTTTCCTTGTATGTTTGTGTGGGTGCCTAACATTGTAATTCCTGTGTTTCAGGCTCCCTGAAGGACAGAAAGGGTTGAAAGTGGAAAATAAGGCCTTCTTCTCCCGTCTTACTTTCTTCAATGTCTCCGAGCAAGACTACGGAAATTATACTTGCGTTGCCTACAACCAACTAGGAAACACTAATGCTAGCATTATTCTCTACGGTAAGTAGCAAATAAGTTGATGGATTCAGCTGGCCCTGGGATTCATAGAACATTAGAATAATGTTGGAAGAGGCCACCTGAGGTCATGGAGTCTAATTCCCTCTTCGTGATAGGAATCCAAATTAAAACGTTCATTACAGACGAGTCTCTGGTTGAATGTATCCACCGAAGGAAAGGTCACCGTCATTCTGAGTAATTGGCTCAATTGTCAAATTATAAGGAAAAAAGGAAGAATAGAGAAAAGAAAGAAGGACCTATTTATATAGTTTATGCTTTGACGTAAGATCTCAGTGGCTTTTCTCAATGTAGGGCTTCTAGTAAATTCTGAAATACCAAATGTCTCCACCAGCGTAGAGAGTTTAAGAACAAAGCAGTCTCTTGATGGGACAAAATCAGTTGATAGACCAGTCCTTTCTTTAGCCGTTTTTTTCCAATATCACATGTATCATAAATAATGACTTCACAGTCCTACTTTTCTCATATCATCAACATTCTCCATCCTCTTTTCTCACTGATTTTAGAACTTTACGATGGTTGTGCAGATAACTCCCAAGAAGAAATCATTATATTATTGTATTACATTGGTATGTCATCAGTGTATTTGTAGCAGTTGAACAATGTCAACTGTCAATAGCCTATAGCAGTGTTTCCCAAACTTGGCTATTTTAAGATGCATGGACTTCAACTCCCAGAATTCCCCAGCCAGTATGCCTGGTTGAGGAATAGTATGCCTGGTTGAGGAATTCTGGGAGTTGAAGTCCATACATCTTCAAAGGGTCAAGTTTGGGCCTATAGGGATGTTATTATGGGGATAAAATTAGGAGAATCTTTGGGCTGAGCTGTTTTGAGCTCTCTAAGAAAAGGCAGGACATAAATGCAACAAAAGAACCATTTTTTTTCCTTCATTGTTTCTCAACATCCTGCCTAAAAAAGAATCTCTCACTTCATCTTGATTCCCCACTCCACCCCCTCTGGAAGTCGCACACGAGGATGTTCTCCAAAGTTTCAAAGTGAAAGTTGTAGGATTTATTTTAGTAAAAAGAGTTTCGCTTACTGGAATTGTTCTTCCTTTCCACTCATTTAAAAAGAAGACTGTTTTCCATCGTGGCGTGATTAAAGAAATCTGATTCCATGGCTACCACACATATAAAATAACCGAAAAAAATAAATAAATCAGGTGAACCGATGAACAATCTGCAATCAAGCCAATATCAGAAACTGCTGCTTGCTAATCTTACACCATGAACCAGAAGGAAGCTCCTTCTCATATATCATCTAAAACATGGAGGTACAACCTTGGGCCCTTTAAGACCTGTAGACCTCAACTCCCAGAATTCCCCAGCCAGTAATCCACATGTCTTAAAATAGCTAAAAGTTGGACACCTCTGATTTAAAGGCTCTGAGTGTTTGTTTGGTTTTTTTTTAATCTCTTCTCTGTTCTGGATTTAATGGTCTTTTCAACTTGGCAAGGTACCAAGCAACATGCTAAAAAGGGATCCTGTAACCTTAGATCATTGGTCAAATCTTGCTATTAATCAGGGGTGGGCTTCAAAAATTTCAGCAACGGGTTCTCTGCCCAGTTTCTGGGTGGGCGTGGCCATGGTGGGCGTGGCCTAGTCGGCCTCCTGCACCACAGCAGGGGAGCCATTTTCACCTTCCCCAGGCTCCGGAGGCTTTCCTCGAGCCTCTGGGAGGGCGAAAAGTGCCTCCCCGGGCTCCGGAGGCCCTCCAGAGCTTCCGGGAGGCCTATTTCCCCCCCTCTCCGAGCCTCCATGCTGGCCCTGCACTTACCTTGCATCCAAAACGGGCCACGTGGAGACTTCTAGGAAGGGTGGGGTGGGAGGGGAAGGGCTGGGCAAACAGAGCCAGTCCGGGGTGGGGTTTGGAGGTTCTATGAACCGGTCATAACGTTAGCTTCGGGTTCTCCTGAATCCAGGCGAACCCATAGCAGCCCACCCCCTGCTGTTAATGATAATCTCAACAAATCGATTGAAAACACCTCAGAAAAACATAGGATGATGTGGGGGTTCCCCCCGCCTCCGATAACCTTCCTCCCCCCTGAAAGATTATTTCCATAACGTGAATTCTTCCCATTTTTGAAAGTTCTAGTCTCTAGATATCTCATTTCCACCAGGTATTTTTCTATCTAGAATGAGATCTTGCAAGATTCCCTTCACCCAGGCTTAGAGAGATACTAACAGCAAGGAATGGCGAATCTTTATATCTTCTCAAAAAATAAAAGCAATATATATAAATATATCACCAAGCCTTTCCTAGTATTGCCACCCTGAAGCGCCATCTGTTAAGTGAGGCGTTTGAGAATAAACAACCTAACCAGCTCCACAATCCCAGGCATGCTTCCAAGTTGTGCTTTCTATTACTTCGACATAAAAATAATAATAAAAAAAAAGGACTTTAGCGAAGGAAGGTGGGGAGAACTCTGAAGCCTTATCTAGAAACTATTTTCTCCACACGCCAGAACTCTGATTAAAGTGATGGATCCATCTGACACCGCTCACAGCCAGAGACAGCTCTAATTGCTTGTCTTATTTGTTACGTTTCTTCTTCGTGTTAAGAGAAAGAGCATGGCTGTTCGCTCTTCTTCATGCCCACTGGAAGCGGAGGTGAGCAAATCCTCCAGGGCCTTATTTCTTCTGCCTCTCACACGATTTCAAACCAGCGTTCTTGTCCAGAATTCTGAGGTTTTCTATCTATCGATTCACCATTCCAAGATGGCCTTTTTTATATAAGGCTTGAGGTTCACCCACAAGGACCATAAACTGTCCAAAAGCTTTGTCCGTAAAGACGACAACATGGTTTCTACAACCCAGGATGGCAAACAAGATTCACAAGAACAAGGAAGGGATAGGACACAAGATGGGACCAGAAGAACTGTGATGGTGTTGATGATTGATGATAATGATGATGACAATGACGATATCCAGGGGTGAAATCCAGCAGGTTCTGACAGGTTCTGGAGAACCGGTAGCGGAAATTTTCAGTAGTTCGGAAAACCGGCAAATACCACCTCTGGCTGGCCCCAGAGTGGGGTAGGAATGGAGATTTTGCAATATCCTTCCCCCAGGAGTGAGGAGGGAAAGGGGATTTTGCAATAATCTTCCCCTGGAGTGGGGTGAAAATGGAGATTTTGCAGTATCCTTCCCCTGCCACACCCACCAAGCCATGCCCACCAAGCCACTTCACGCCCACCAAGCCACAGAACCGGTAGTAAAAAAAAAAATTGACTTCACCACTGATGATATCCATCCAATCATGTCCGACTCTGAGCGACTCTATAGGTCTCTCCACATCTTCCAATCTTGCACTACTTCTTTGAGTTGTTCTTTGCTCTGGCTGATGTCAGCTAAGATGGTGTCCATCCACCATGTTCTTTGGTTTCCTTTTATCGCTAACTCTTCCAGGCATAACATCTGACATGTCACTGGAAGGCAGAATCGTCCCTGTCTCCTGATCAAGGAAGACGTAGCCACTTATCTAACATGATCAACGCTCTTATTAATAGTGTGTCAAAAATAGTTTAAAACCTTCTTTGAACATCATCATGATACAAGATTTACCCACATCTTACATCCCCGTCTATGTAGCTTTATAGCAGCTGGTATGAACATGGAAATCTATTCTCTATTGAACTATCCAACAATAATCAGATTGACCAAGTATTGTATTTTAGCACTTATTCCACAAGCAGAAGGTACTATGACATTTCTTCTTTCATCCAAAATACCTGTCAAAATTCCTTCTAAAATGTCTACATTAGATTTTCTGTGAATGCCCTTCAGGACTATTATCTATGTTTTGACCAGCTGTGGTTATTAACGGGACTAAATTGAAAGATAGGAATAGTGGAGGGTATAAAGTTCTCACAACAGAATCGTTTTAATACGTTAGCAAAAAGAAACTGACTTTGTGGCGGAGAAGTTTCTTCAACCTTGCCACTTTGGATGTTTGACTGCTTAGTGTTTTCATTACTCATTTCTTTCCTTCATCATTGGAAGTATAGTTAGAAAGAGGCTACCTTTAGAAAAGAAAAATGATTGATCAGCTGTTTCTTGGATGCTACTATTTCCTTCATTAACTACATAGTAACGGTAGTGGGAGAACTAAGTATGTTAAATCTCACATTATTTTAAAAAATAATGGGTGGAAAGACGTTTTCACCAGCATTGTTAATATTATTGTGGCTAACATTGGATGGAAAATCAATATAGAAGCACAGGAAGAATATTATCTATCATCCCTCTCCTCAACCTCTCCTCATTCTTCTCTGCCTTACATAGGATTTTAAGAACATCAGATGTATATTCTTCCTTCCATATTCCTCGATCAAGACAGTTTTATCTCAGTCCATCTCATTTTTTTTTTTTAAAAAGAGAAAGTTAAACCTACAACACAACGGTAGCAAAGCACATGTAATGCTAGCACATGCCAGTTGAAATTTGGCAAGTGAATGAAAGTCATAAAGTTGGCTTTTGGGAAGTTACTAATAGACGGAAACGGACAGTCAAAGGAAATCAATGCAATTGCTTCCAGTCGGTGAGGAATAAGATGCAATATTAAATAAACATTGCTGGTTGGTCTTAAAGAACGTAAGAGGGCAGAGGGAGAGGAAGCAATTGGAAATATCTGTAGTGGCGTGAAATCATGCAGACAATGGGATAGTGTACCCATCTGTACATTAGGAGCTAAAATGATGTATAATGCTGATTAGTTAACTCCTGATGACGTCTATCCCATCCCATCATCACAGAGTTGTACCATACAGCCTTGCAAAAGTTGTGGGACCAAACATACTTCCAGGACGAGTGGCGTTTAGTTATCTAAAGTTATTCCTAGTAGTTAGGAAGTGCCAATTCTTAGTTCATCAATCGTTATCGCTTTCAATTTAGAGTTCCCCAGTTTAAAATGGGAGTTTGGTTTTTTCTTTCTTAGAGCAGAGATAATGTTTGAAATGTCTTTTCATCAGCTTTCCCACTGCTTTGGGAAAAGGAGGTCACCACTCAAATGCAGACGGAGAAGACCTTGTAGAGAGAAGTTAACAGCAAGCACAGATCCTTTGCATTTGGGAGTCATCCAGTAAGGGATGGGTGGTGTCCAGAGTGTCAGGGTTCTGACTGATGCCCTAATGAGCCAAGCTTCAAAAGAAATCCAGTTATTTATTAGGAGCTTCATGTTGGCATGTTCCAAGTGAAGCCAACTCTGACCCCATGTAATTTGACCCTATTTCCCCCCTCCTCCCAAGGTGTATCATCAATCACATTCTCCAACGAAGCAATTTCGTGGGTTGTAGAAATCACTCCCCTCCAGCCATTGTGGGTAACCCCGGGAGACAGCCTTGACAGAGATATGGCTGGAATGTGCTTTTGTTTTTGACTGACATGCTGCCTTGCAAGTTCGTTTTCCCATCCCGCTTGCCTATGGCAACTCGAGAGCAGGCCAGGGATGCTTTGCGAGTTGACACAGTGATCTTCCCATCCACCCCACAAATAACCACACTAACAGCAGCAAGCAATCAGAGCTGTGGACAAAACTTTGCACCAGCATTTGGGCCAGGATAGACGGACGTGGACTTTGGTTTCAGATAATCCCTTCATTTCTTTTACTTAATAAATCTATAGTATCTGTTTCTGGAGCATGTTCCAAACTAAAATAGTCCTCATTATGTAACTATGATGGCCTATTAAAAAAAAATCTATTATATAAAAGTGAAGTGTTTTGCTCTGATTCTGTAAAATATCAGGGACATAAAAGACATTCTGAAGCATAGAGCAGTAATTGTATCAATTGGACAGATATATATATTAACTGAATACTCTATAGAGGAGCTATGCATTCTTGTCAAAAGAGGGTAACCAGTTATCCCAGTGTCTTTGAGCAGTTGTGGATCATCCCATGACTTGTAGGGAACATATTCTACTGAAAGCATGCTTTCAAATGTAAGAGAAGAATTCATATGAGTTATCAACTAAGCCACAATAAGGAGCATTGATGTAAAATAAGAAGCCTTAAGCCACGATTTAGAACCATAGTAGATCAATCATGCAAGGTCCTAAGTCAGCCCTCTTAGTTTGATGGGTAAACCCTTAATTGAAGGATGAAACCTTTCAAGAGAGAATGCTTTATGATGCTTCAGCTTTGTGGTTTTTCTGAAGTTGAGCACCCCGGAAAATGTACTTGTTTTATTGCACGTTTCTGCATCCTAGCTCTACCTTCTTCTGCTTTTATCGACTTTCACACGAATCCTCTTATCAACACACAGTGAATCTTACCGATTCCTTTCCCGATTATATCAATATTGTAGAAAGTAGTATGGCTTTCTTTCTCGCAATTGTTTAAATTACCTCCTAACTTTATCTAGTAATAAAGGAACTATGATCCATTTGTGAAATGAAGAGAGTTTTATCCTGGTTTAGCACAGAGGACAAAATCTGGTCCCCTGTTCACAGTCACAATCTTGACAATTGAAACCACAGCCCAGTGCCCTCCATATTGTCCTGGTTTAATCTTGGTGTAGCAATTGTTCTTTCTTCCTCTCTTTACCAGTTTTGCACAACACTTGTTAGCTACATGTGACATGAAGATTTGCTGAAATAGAATAGAGTCTTGTGTCCCTTATTCATTTTTATTGACAGAGCAATTGTGGTCCTAAGCAATGAATAATGCATTGCTTGAGAAGTAATATCATTTATCATGTTGGAATTATAACAGAAGCTGAGCAGAACTGATTTGTGGAGAAAAAAGGGGGGGACCATGTGAGCTAGTGATGGACAATAGCTTTCCTCCCCCCCCCAAAAAAAAATTGTGGCTAACCTCATCTCCCAGCAGCACCAGGTTCTCTGGGAGTTATAGCTCAAAAACATCTGGAAGGACAAGAGTTGCTCGCACCTGCTGACAAGCCAAGCAGAACTCATGAAGTTAATAGGTGATTTCACTGAAGTCATTGGAGCCCATCTTTTACGGAAACATGGATTATTGAGACAATGTAGTTGAAGAGGCAATCAAAACGCAAAGCAATCAAGGCCATTTCCAGAAATGCAAAAAGTGTAGGAATAGTTTTTGTTGTTTTGTCACACATCATAGAACCTAGTAAGATGATCCTCTTGTCTTTAGTTAGGGACTCACAACAAAAGAGATCCAGCAAAGCCCAAATTGCAGAGTCAAGTAATGGTTCTGCTGCTAGAGCTTGGAATTAAACATTACATCAGAAAACTCTGTAGGGTATTTGGGTGATAGGGAGTCAAAACTGGGAGTAGTCAGAGTATTAAGTAGAGCTTCAGATTTATCTTGAGGCCTTCAGTGTACAGAGATTCTTCAGTTAACATGTGGAGATTTCTTCAGAAGCCCAGCTAGATTCTTCAATTAATCATGTTTCTTAATTATGTTGTGACTGTTATTTCTTTTTCTCCTTCTCATCTTCAGCTAAACCTCAGGTGTGTGAGAATGGTGGTTATGATGATGATGACAATGTTGGTGGATTCTGGTTCTTATTTTGGATTTTAATTATCTGGCTTTCTAGTCTACTTTCCTAGCAACCAAGTCATTGTTGCAAAGAGGATGGGAAAGGGCAGACTGCCTCTTGTTTGGTTTCTTTGATTTCTAGCGCCATTTCTCATATCGGCGGAAATAAGGAACAGTGAGAAGAAAGGCTCAGGAAGCGATAAATGAAGATAACAGTGGCCATCAGAAATTTTAAATAATGTATCTTCTCTTAAGCTTTTCGTTTCTTGGAGGGAGAAGGGGCAAAGAGGGTCCAAGAGATGCCTCCAATTGATCGTTTTCTTCTAAAGTTAGCTTCTTCTCACAGGGCTGAGAAGTTCATCCGATCTACGGTCTGCGGTCTTCTTCAAAATACCCAACAACCTCAATAGATAACATTAAGAAATCCATAAACATTGTATGTGTGGTCCTAAGCGTTAGAGTTAGAGCAACTTTTTTGCAAGGCTGGACATTATGAATTACATTTCATGGAGTCACATTTTCTCTTCCTACTTTTTATGCTTCATTTTCCAACAGCACTGGGTATTTTTTATTTATTTATTATTTGTTTTAATTTCCCATCCATTTTAGAGTCTGTCTTCTCTCCTTAGCCCATCTACACATCCTCCTCCTCCTTCATTCCATCTCTTCTTTACAACAATCTGTTTCGTGGAGTGCTAATGATGAAGCGATATATTTATTTTCCTTTTTATCTTCATCTTTTTTTTCTCTTCCATTGTTTCCTTACCTGGTTTAGAAATAAGTGAGCCCACAAGCTCAACCTTGTTCCAAGGTCAGTATTGTCTTGCTGTATGTCACATCTGCTCTGCCTCCCTTTATTGCAACTCCCCTCCCCCCCCCCTTTGATACACATTGCCTGTTCCCCTGTTCGATTTGCATGGAGGACTGTACCACTTCCTGCTGGGGGGGGAGGGGGGTTCCAGAGAAGGTACAGTTTTGGGGGATTGGTCTCCTTGTCTTCCATCATGTCATGTCTGGTCAGCGGTTGAGAGTTCCACTATCCAGTTTGAGATCTCCTTTTAGATGAAATCCATTGTGCTTTGCACGCGTGGGTTCGAATCCCATCTTCATCGCCAATGGAATTATGTGGGAGTCAGAATACAGATGAGAAGCCAAACTTCTAGCAGCAATGTTTATTGCAGATAATGACTCAGTAAAACCAACATGCAACTTCCGGCTGATAGCCCCTTTTAAAGGAAAACTATCAGCCTTTTACCAATAACATTAAAATATGTCCCACACCTGCGTGGCAGAAGAAAAGTCTCTGCTCACGCCTGCGCGGACATAACAAATCCCTTTCAAGGATCAAAAGTCATCAAGATTCTGATCCTTTCCTTCTTCTCTCCCCACCCACAAAATAAAAATAATTTTGGGAACTGCCCCGCTTACCAACTCCCTTTACCAGATGGATTAAAGCTAAAATAAAGACATTGAATTCATGACCACTATTGATTAATCCATGGAACGGCTTGCCTCTCAATGTTCCATCATTAGAGGTTTTCAGGAAAACACTGGACAACCATTTTTGTCCAGGTTGGTATAAGAATGCCTGCCTTGGGTATGCGGTTGGACTCAAAGACCTCCCAAGTCCCTTTTAGCCCTGTGACTCTATCATTTAAAGAGACTACTGAAGACAGACTCACAGAACATAATTCATGGAATTTCTCTTATATTTTGAGTGTAAGTAAACAAGGAAGACCACTACTCTAAAAAAAACACAACCCAAAACATTCCTTTTCTTAGAGGATGTGCTTTCTTTAGAGCCTTGATAGTACAGTGGTCTACGCACCCTGTTATTAACACAGCTGCCTGCAATTACTGCTGGTTCGAATCTCTCCAAGGCTCAAGGTTGACTCAGCCTTCCATCCTTTCTAAGGTAGGTGAAATGAGGACCCAGTTTGTGGGGGCAATAAGCTGACTTTGTATAAAAATATACAAAAGTATGAAGGCTATTGCTTAACGCATTGTAAGCCGCCCTGAGTCTCCGGAGAAGGGCGGCATATAAATCAAATTAAAAAAAAAAAGAAAAGAAACTGGGGGAAAAAAATCTGAACATCTATTTCTAGCACTTCACTATTAGTTAGAGCAGTGATGGCGAAGCTTTTTGGCACCAAGTGCCGAAAAGATGGCTCGGAAACGTCGTGCGTGCGCGCTCGTCGGGGCCACCCTCCAGAAAAGCTGAACCTCTGGGTTCTAACACGCATGCACGCCCAACGATCAGCTAGCCAGCGCCAATGCGCAAGTCAATTTTCGACACTGCCGTGCGCGCGAAGGGATCATATTCCAGAAAAGCTGAACTTTCGGGTTCTGGCACGCATGCACACCTGACAATCAGCTGAGTTTTCGGCACTGCCGCGTGCATGGACAGCTGATCGTCACTCGTGCACGCATGGCAGAAACCCGGAAGACAAAGAGGCAAGGCCGCGCGTGCCAGGCGACATGGCTCTGCGTGCCACTTTGGGCATAGGTTCGCCATCACAGAGTTAGGGACTACTGATTCAAAATATTTTACAGGTTATTTTGGAGAAATATGCCCATTCACACACTCACTCACACACCATTTTTTTCATCTATGGATATGATGACAAATGGAACCCTGGCCAATTAAGGGAAAAAAATCCTCACCCAGCAATGCCAACTACAAATACAATTCTGAAGTCTCTTTTTAATAACGTTCCATGTGAATGAATCAAAGGGCACTAATGATTTGTTACCAGATGTGATTCTTTGTCCCTTACCAAATGATACTTTTCAAGTCTGGAAGTTGAGTCACGGCAACTGGACTTCTTTTCGGGTTTTTTTTGGTTTGAAACATTTTGTTGACGATCTCACTTGAATAAACAGCGAAGCATTTCAAACCCCAAAAAGAAATGAAGTTCAGTTGGCATGACTCAACCTTCAGACAGGTCTACCTGGATGGCTGAGAATCATCACTGATATACTTTTTAAGGTAATCTCAAAGGTGCTTTTTTTTCAAAAGGCAACTGAATTGTTTGTTTTTTTTATTTGAGGAAGAAGAAGATGTTTTGCTTCCCATCCAAGAAGCTACATCAGTTGTACCTCTGTTGCAACTGATAGGGACACGGTGGCTCAGTGGCTAAGATGCTGAGCTTGTCAATCGAAAGGTCAGCAGTTCAGTGGTTCGAATCCCTAGTGCCTCATAATCGGGTGAGCTCCCGTTACTTGTCCCAGCTTCTGCCAACCTAATAGTTCGAAAGCACGTAAAAAATGCAAGTAGAAAAATAGGAACCACCTTTGGTGGGAAGGTAACAGCATTCCATGCACCTTTGGCCTTTAGTCATGCCGGCCACATGATCACGGAGATGTCTTCAGACAGCGCTGGCTCTTCGGCTTTAAAACGGAGATGAGCACCTCCCCCTACAGTCGGGAACGACTAGCACATATGTGCGAGGGGAACCTTTATCTTTACCTTACAACTGATTTAGCTTCTGGGATGAGGAGCAAAACGTCGTCTTCTTCTTTCTCAAATTAAAAATTCCATGTGCCTTTTGAAAAAGCACCTTTGAGACAACAATGATATGGATGACTCTGAATCTCCATAGACACATTTCAAGGTTCCTTTTAAAGAACCACTAGTCGAAACCTCTAATAAAATCAGGTGAGATTGGCAGAGTAGACATGTCTAAGAATTATGCTCGTTGGAAGAATTTAACAATTACAACTTCTTATTCTTCCTGTTCTTAGAAGACTTCCCTGGTCAAGGTGGAAATTGATATATGTGTGTGTTGCAGAAAGGCCTTGGACCTGTTAGCTGGATTTGATTTTCTGGTTTCCCTTAAAAGGAGCATGTAGAGGCCAGCATGTGCAAACTTCGCATTATTCTACTTGTAATAAATGTATGTGAAGCTCGTCACCATTTGAAGAATGCTGTCAATATTTGTTGAGGTATTCCTATGCCAACTGGGCTGGCAAAGGGATCAACTGTTCCCTCATCTGTGTCTTGGTAACCAAAATGAAACAATGCCTTTGAAATAAATATTGAAAATGGGGGAGAAAAAAATAGGCAACACAATTGGTGGCCTGATGAATAGAGGATGGGCTTCGGTAGAATTAATTGTGGGACTGGCTGGAAAAGGTCCCAAGTTGTACCACCTGGTAGACAGAGTTGACAAACAGAGACAGACACGATCTCTGGCAGAAGAACCACCAGAGCCTCAAATCTAGATGTTTAAACTGGTTGACTTTAAAGAAAAAGTCACCCGTAGAAGAGAACATTTGCAGCTCATGGGGTGAACTCTGGGGTCCCTGATGCCCTCTGAACTTGGTAGACATTTCACTATCCAACTAAGAAACATTATCAGCACACCAGAATCTTCTACATTCTAAGAAGAACTCAAGGTGCTACCTAGTTGGGTAATGAAACATCTCCAAGAAACCTCCAAGAGCCTTGGTAGTACAGTGGTCTAAGGCACCCTGTTATTAAGCTGGTTATTAAGACCAGCTGCCTGCAATTACTGCAGGTTCAAATCTCACCAAGGCTCAAGGATGACTCAGCCTTCCATCCTTTCTAAGGTAGGTAAATTGAGGACCCAGTTGTGGGGGCAATAAGCTGACTTTGTATAAATATACAAAAGGATGAAGGCTATTGCTGAGCACATTGTAAGCTGCCCTGAGTCTCCGGAGAAGGGCGGCATATAAATCAAATTAAAAAACAAAAAAAACAAAAAACCAGCTAAACTCAGAGAGCACCAAGGAGTCAAAATAATAATAAATAAATGAATAAAATAAGGAATGCAGGTAACATGAGTAATCTCAGCCAGCTCTTCATCCAATTTCTCATTCTTCTTTGAAAAGGTACAACGCTAATTCTCCAGACCACCATTAGATCCCATCCTTGATTTTCAGAAAACGAATGTGGTTTGTCTGTCAATCTGCATCCCTTTAGCCCCCTGGCAGAATCAAATGCCGATATGCAGCTGCCTCATTCTGAAAGAAAAGAAAAGAAAAAGAGCTGATTTATTAACTCGTTTTTCTTTCTTTCTGTTTCTTTTTTTTTTTATTTCCCCTTCTGCATGGCTTCCTTATGTGTCTCCTCATGCTCCCTACATTCTGCCATGTAAGTATCACTGGCCTTGATGTTATGCTTTGGAATGAGGAATGAGTGTTCAAAGGCTTCAAGGGAAGAGGGTGGACAGAAAAGACTTGAGAAAGGGAAGAGGTGGGATGAAAAGTTTTTGATGGACCATCCAAAGTAGGCATATCTTGGAATCAGTTCATGCAATGTGGAGGGACCAAAGTCAATTACACTTTTAGGTTTGGCCGTAGGTCTTGAATTACCATTGCATTGGCGTCTTTGTCCTTATTCTTACATGCCTCCCTTCTAGTTTAATGCGAAGCAGGGGTGAAATCCAGCAGGTTCTGGACAGGGGTGGGTTCTAATTTTTTTTACTACTGGTTCTGTGGGCGTGGCTTATTTTATGGGCGTGGTTTGATGATCAGGTGACAAACAATTCTTTAGGATTTAGAAGAGGTACTGGTCTACCAGGCTTTTAACTGCTTGCAGAGCTGTACCGGTCTACCCATTTGTTTTTGGAGCGCACTGGTCTACCACCACCCTGCCTTTTACCACTGATCAGCTGTAGGGCGGCCCTTTGAAGTGCCACAGCAAGAGTTTAAACAGTTTTTTTGCTGCTCTGCCACCACCGAGAGCATCGGAAACCGCTTTCGGGCAGCTTGGCCTCGATTGCCAGTCTACCACCACCGAACAGTTTACAAGGAGTGGATCGGTTCTAGCCAATCCGTTGGGAGGCT